AGCTTTCATAGCTTTCACATCCGTTATTTTTTCTCATTACATCGCCTCCTTTAGTAAGTAGAGGCATGATGTTCATTTGGTTGGTCTCTTGGAGTTTCCCTGGACCTAAGCAAGGCTTTGAGTTGAATACCCAATGCGTTGCCGATTAACACTGGCTGTATATGTGTTGCCTATATGTAGGGCAGCTACATTGATGCACAATCGTACATTCTTATTCTTTCATAACCCATTGAATTTTTATGTATTTCCACGTGGAATCAATTAACTAGACTTGGTTCTGGTTGTGACACATAAGTGTCAGATATTTGTGACACATGCTGACATCGAACTACCATAGACTTCATCTCCCGATTTTTCTCCGAGTCTCAGAAAGGGTGTAGGACTACAATCCTACAGCGCCAAACCACTGTTGAGATGTTTGCAAATCCTAGAACCTTAAAGATGATACGCTCTCGCGCCCAGACTCGCCGAATAGCCACGGTGGTTTCGTCTTGGTCGTCGAACTTGTCCAATGGTTGGGCCGAAAATGTTCCCCGCATCAGCTTGAAATAAGTGCTTATGGTTTTATGTATATATGGCAGAATTCGGCCGAACACGAGGTTCCGGAACGCCTTGGCCGGCAATGACAACATCCGGAATACCGATCAAATACCGTAGATTATATGGGCGAGCTCATTCAGCGGGATCTGAAAGACCCGGACTGGTCTATGAGGCATTGGCGACCGGGCAAAATGAACCGCAACTGCTGCTGCCTGCTGTCAGCATTACCGCTAATGCCACCTTAATGCACGCTGCGGTAGTGGCTGGTAGACGAGCCGGTTGTGAGATCGGTCCGCTCCGATCCCTTGGGGGCCCACATCAACAACGCCGGTGGTTCCGAGATTATTTTACTGCCCACCTGCCGGGCAGCTCACTGCATCCCGATCGACCTCTCCCGAAACAGGATGATTCGAAAAGGTGAATAATTCTTTTTCATGTGCTCTCTTGTTTTCTTTCTCGCGAGGGCCTGCTAGATACAGACTTTGTTTGGTCAGGGATTTGTGCGCGTTTGACTGCACAGTCTAGGGATCTCCTGGCTAGTGCTTTTTTCACACGGCAAATGTTTCCCTCAGAAGCTCATGTCTTTAGTCAGTCATGTAACAGTCATGCAGCTAACTTCCAAATCTTCATTGCGCATCCTTCGGTTATCTATCTTTATTTGATTTACCGCAACCGTTATTGACTCTCTTCTAAATTCTTGGCTCTTATTGGATGGCTAACGATTTTGGCGAAATAGTCCTGCAGTAGATCGCAACACGACGACAGTACGAATACCCCTCCGATCAGCTAAGCACCATTTTGGCGCAACACGTGCGCGTGGTACCCGACCTAACAACGAAGACAATTACCAAGCGGGTGTAATTGATGTTCCACTGTTTTCTCCTATAGCCACAAGTCCTGTAGAAGATCATCAGCCAGGCCAGGAGCCCTCAGTCTTTTACTTTAGCGTTTTTGACGGCCATGGTGGAGACCTAGCTAGCTTATATCTCAAGGACTATCTACATCGGTACATCGAGGAAACGTCAAAGCTATTCAACCCGGGTAACGAGCAGCGCCCGCTTGCAGACCCCGATAGCGTGCATGTCGATCATGATGCCGAGGGATGGGCAGAACGCACAAAGCTGCAACAGGACCTGGTAAATCTCTGGCAAAACACCGTTGGGGGCTACTTTCGTCGCTTCAAGCCGGATTTCGGCGTGACTAAAGGATGTGGAGTTAGTGGTGACGGTAGAATCGGCGCAGTTTTGACCTATGCTCTTTTGAAGCTCGACATGGACTTTATTACCAACCAGAGACCATGGTTCATTCCATCTGATGCGACACCGACACAGGTAGACAGCGAGGAGTCAACAAATTCCTTCAAAGGTGGTTCCACTGCCACTGTAATCCTGATATCCACATCGTGGGAAGCCCCAATCTGTCAGCTCTTGTCCACAAACATGCTAAATCACTCGACAGAACACCTAAGCCTTTCTGGAACCCCAAGCAGAAGTCCACCCTCATCACAGCGCATCTAGGAGATACCCGTGCACTCCTTTGTCGAACCTCGGATGGTGAAGCGGTTCCAATCACTACCAATCACCATCCTTCTTCGCCCATTGAGTCTGGCCGCCTCCGCCGCTATGCGGCATCGTTTGTGCAAGACTCGTTCGGTGAAGAACGCTTCGGCTTTCTAGCTAACACCCGTTCTGTTGGGGATGTTAAGCAGAAACGCCTCGGGGTCTCTGCGGAACCCGATCTGCATGTTACGGATATCGCGCCTGCAGAGTATAGCTTCCTGGTTCTTGTCAGTGACGGCATCAGCGGCGTCTTGGACGACCAAGAGATTGTGGACATTGTTAAAGAGTGCCGCACCCCCGAAGAAGCCGCGAAAGAGCTGACAGAGTTTGTGGATGAGGTTGGTGAGAGCGGCGACAATGCCACTGCTATAGTGGTGCGCATGGGTGGGTGGGAGAAGCGTAATGAGGGCGGCGAGGGCTGGCTAGGAACTAAAAAGCAGCGGGAGTGGCGGAGAGAGAATGCAGAGGAGTATGGGACACGGGGAAGAAGAATGTAGATGCACTTCTAGCGACATGAACACCCAAACGTTCTATTACCGCCAACGTTTACAAGGCAGAAACGGAATGTTCACATACTTCCGCCGTTATATAGTACCATATTTACGCATAAGAGAAGGCGTTAGATATTTTTTGATGGGCACATTTGCATGTATATAGTTACTTGTGTTATGATGATCTAGATGCAATACCAAAGATGTTCGGCTAGTTTCGTTAGGTTTTGATATAATTACTTACTGGCCCCATAAACTCTTTGTTTCTGGTCATGGCTGGACTTATTGTGGTACGGCAACCTCGCTAGGCACGATTATGGTAAGTCATTGGTTTCTGTCGAAGTGTTCAACCCTGCATCATCGATGGTTCGGTTTTGGTCATGTGGGGCTCGGGTCTCGTGGTGTGTCTCGCCGCACTTATTCTGCTCTCCTCTTCTCTTGCCTTCCTGTACACTTAACACTTAACCTTATAATGTAACACGATCTTTCTCTCATCTCCAACAGTTTCCGCTTCCTGACGGGACTCAATAAATTGATAATGCATCATTCTTCACATATTCCCCACGGATGATATTATGCTAGAATCACTTAATCAATGTACAGGTACAATTTAGTACAACAAAATGTAGTATGATAAAGCACAGTAGTAGCATGAAAGATTCCGTACATGTATGAGTTGGGTACACACCACATAAAGCTGTAGCTGAATATATATTGACTTGGCATAGGGACTACCTCTAGCACAGTTAAATATTTCAGCACAGAGAGTGTGTAGGTTGCCAATTAGGTACTTCCAACCGAACTAGGAACGGTGCCGAACCCCCATGTTAATCGTGTAGATGTTCACCGGTCGAGTATGTCTATTGCGCAAAGCCTGTCGACTTTCATGTACCGTCCAACGATCAGCTATAAAGGGTAATAATTGGAAAACCGGTAACGTATATGGGGTATACTTATGACAGCAGCTACTATAATACTGTCCAAAGCAGCTGACAAGGTCCAAGCTCACGAAATTTGCTCTTTAGCCTGATTCAATGCAAACCCTGATGGGTTCTCGCTGGCAACGTGGTTAGTAAATATCCGACTGGACATTTCCAACCCGTTATAGGCTCATTAGATGGTGGAAATATAACCTTTTTCTAGAATGTATTTGGAACGCGGGTTCTAAGCTTGAATATGTTGCGACGATCCAATTGCTAGTTTTGATACCCACCATTATATTAATTCCAAATAACCTCCGTGATTTCAACAGTTTTTAGTTTCTCGGTAGTGCTCTGTGCATGTATATGTACCTGCTCTTCACGTCTGACAGCGCGGCCTGCATTCCACCCACCATCTTACATGAGATATGTTCCTGCAGATTAATAATCTATTAAATCCCTAGTTCCTAGGACCTCTATTTTACTCCCAGGTTGTATCCAGGCATCTTTCTGTGTCAACACTTAATTTTACTCGGCAAAGTTTTTAATCACGTATAGGTTAGAATCCTGTGAATTGTCACTCGAATCGATAATACAACTTCAATCACAGCAGTTTCAGATACATACGTAGCTACCATGTTTATGCCATCTTTTAGAGAATGAGCCGAGCTATCCAATGCTCTTTTGTAAATTCCTGGCACTGGCCATAAGCGAGTGATGTTTAACGCAACCGGGGCCAAGCGCTCTGGTGGATCTGTAACCATGGATAGAACAACCACAATGTCTCCCGAAAGGGATATCTTTGCTCTATCTAGAGAGAGCATATCAGAAACGGCTCTGTGCTCCGTTCTGTAACATGGTAAGCTAGTTTTGAGCTACTTATTCGTCAACCTTAAAAATGAACGACATTTAACGAGCTGGGTTCCCTAAACCGTGGGGTAAGCGCCGTCTTATATTTCCAGGATTCGATGCGGCGTGAAACCCGAGTACGGATGAAGCTTTTGTGGTTCCCGCAGTATTGCGCGGATTCCTCCTAATACGATCGAGTGATCCAACGTTCCCTTTCCAATTATAAATCTGCTTTATGCACAAATAACCATCTGACGCACATGAACTCATTGTGTCACATTCGTGATTGATTAAATACTTATTTACTCTACGTTACATCACCCAAGGAAAATAATTTCCCTTACGCGTTTACCGACGGCAAATATATTAGTCCATGAAATATCACTCCAGAGGCCGTGCTCATATTGCATATCCCAATCAAGTAAACATGAGTCCACAAGGGGTTGCAGCCTGCAATAGCAATCCCCTTATTCCTTAATGGCGGATGATGCCATTGATAGATTGGCCATATCTACCGATTACTTACCATGCCATCACACACAGAAAGCTATATTGACTTCCGGTGAGTAAGTGATAGATACTCTCTTCTTCTACAGCTAGCAACGAGTCCGGGGAGATGAACTCCAAAAAGTAAAAGATACTGACATCCGTGAGATTCGAACTCACGCAGATTTCTCTACTAGCACCTGAAGCTAGCGCCTTAGACCACTCGGCCAGAATGCCCTGTTCATGAAAAATAACTGACCGTAATCCATTTTAACACGAATTATACAGTGTCTGCTAGTAGGATTTTCTAATCATATTTTGGTGTCGGGTGGAGATTTTAGTGTCGTGGTAGAAAGTATTAGGTTGCGCTATAGAGGGATGAATGTAAATCGTGCAGTAGTGAGTTGAATGGTTGAGTGTTAAGATTTGCATTAATTAACATGTACGAAACATGACCACGATTCCCAGATAAACACGCATGCAGGAAAAGGCGCTACCCACTAAGGGCTGGCTTTCTCTGCCTCCAAGATTCTCTTGAGATTGGAATCAGTAGAGCCCCTTAACATATCTACTAAGATGCGCTTCTATCTACCTTCTGCTACACGTATAGATGTATAGGAACCCAGAGATAATCCTCCAACAGAGATCACAGCCAAATTTATCCAAGTTGAATCGACAAAAATGTAGTGAATCCACTACTTTTGTAATAATAGCCGTCGTACACAATCGACGTGGATATGACTGGGCATTCTGGCCGAGTGGTCTAAGGCGCTAGCTTCAGGTGCTAGTAGAGAAATCTGCGTGAGTTCGAATCTCACGGATGTCAGTATCCTTTTGTTCCTTTTTTGAAAGATTGTACAAGTCCTTCGATTAGTAAAGCAAGGCATCTCGTCGTGCACCTGCTAGTTTATGGCAGATGTTACTTAGTTTTCTGCACATCTGGGGGTTTGGAATGCTACTGCCATTGCCAAACGGCTGTATTGAGGCTGAGAAGTATAGTTCCAAGTGTATTTGAGGCGATTCATTGGCCTATGATCCTGCGATGGAGGTAGCGGTGTATGGTCAGAGTGCGACGAGTCGGCGAAGTCACAACAATATATCTCGTAGTAATTTTTCCGGCTCTCGGGCGTTTGCGATGATGTCCATCTGCTTGAAAAAAAACGTTAGATTGACCAGAAAAGAGAAAGGAGAAGAGAGCTCGAGAACTCAATCACAAAATAAGTTTGTAACCACAGGCTAGGTTTATCACTGTACATCACTCGATTTTGAAATTTGCATGTATGTACATGCATCAGATACAAGTCAAAATTAACAGTAGAGAACAACGCCCCGAGCCAGCAGATGGGGTCAAAAACAACAAACTATCCGTAAAGGTTTGAATTAACAGATTTCTCTACTAGCATCTAGAGCTACCACTCTGCACTACTTAGTTGATTGCTTATGTAGTCCTAGCAGAATACGCGTAATCAATGGGAACTATTATTATCAAGGGGTAACGGTTTGAATGACGATTAGCTAAATTAAACTTTATGGGCTATCTTCTATCAAACAAAAATTATACAATGACTGAAGATACCTTCATAACAGAGCTCCAGGCAAGTGAAAACACAAAAGATTCGTCAAGGACAGGATTCGAACCTGCGCGCCCGAAGGCATCCGCTGGGCTTTCTTCTTGCGAAGACTAGCAGGCGAACGTGTTAACCACTCCACCACCTTGACTGATTGACAATTGTGGTTTGACAGACATTTTCGGAAAACCCCATTTGTCAATAGGAACATGTATGATGGAGCATCGACTAGATTTGCTAGCACGACTGTGTATCTAATGAATTATATTGTTCTAGGAGCCAGGATCAAGGCACCATGTCCGGTTAAAGCTCCATTTAGACAGGCCGATATTATCCAGCACAGTAGGCCCAGCCAATAAACTGCAGTAAAGAGTCAATGTATCCAAGTTTTAGCCATCGCGAGAGCCAAACAACTCGAAGGATGTTGCTAGATCAATTGTGCTTCGAGGTCCACCGCTTCCCCTATCGATCATCAAGCCTCTGTCACGAAGAAATTGTAGGTCTGAAGCGAGCTGCAATATGTCTTGATGCCTGGCTATACAGCAGAATCCTGTGTGCTCGCACGCCCTTATGTCTGTCTCTGGGTTAAGTATAAGTACCAAGCTTCAATAGTCTACTCGACCGATAATATCGTGAATCCTCAATAAATGTTGTCACTGGCCTGTGTCGAAAGTATCCTAGCTGTAATATGGTTATGTCTCTATTCATTGTTAGGCTGTGAATAAACTCGCATAAGAAGAATTCGACATGGATCGGAAATTGTTATGTGGAAGTACGTATCATGAGGTTCGTCGTTGGGCGCGGGGATTTACGCGAGATGTCATGATGTCACGGAACAGCTGTCAAAATAGTGGTTACCCGGAATTGATTACTGCTGACTCATGGAACCCATTAAGTTCAATATCACTGAGGTATTAATTGCAATTGGCAAAGTGGTCAATGCAAAGTTCAATCTAGAAAACTGCTAATACAGGAATAGAGGCCACCTGCAACAAGTCGAGGTCGAGGTCCTAGGCTCGAAGGTCGAGGTCTTAGCATAATCAGCCACTCAAAAAAGCAAAGAAAAATAACAAATGGAATCAAAACAACGCGTGTAAAGGGCGATTTCTTGAATACTTGTAGGGTTGTGCCCCCAGATTTCAATAAAAAGCCACGGGAAATGCTATGAAGTTGGAAGTTTTGCTTTTTACATATGCTAAGACTTCGATCTCCGAGCCCCGAGACCTCGACCTCGACTTGTGCAGGTGGCCTCTAATGCAGCGACACCACACCTCGTACTACAATGTGAGTTTATCCTCTACTGCGGCTGAGGGCGCGCTTGATGTTCATACGCATACTCTGATATACCAACCCTGGCATATATCTATATGCATGTTGGTGTGTCTCCGACGCGTGAGGGCGCCAGCGGCCAGTCAAAAATATGTTGTAATCCCCAAAATAGGTATTCGGCAATCAAAGACACAGGAATTACCTTTGACTGTGAGTTTTGCTCCATAGGTTTACGAGACTTTCCATTCTTGCCGCAAAGTAAATATGTGTCTTGAAATTTTTCGGAATCGTTAACCGGTCCTATCAGTTGGTCTGTAGAGGTAGGAGATTGATATTTTTGCGAACACTAGTTTCCATGATGCTGTGTGAAGCTTCAGAGCGCTCAAGCCAAAGTCGATTAGTTAACCCCGAACGCAGGAGAGGTACTTCGGACATCTGAGCATTCTCGGTATCCGCTCGATAGATCCTTCTTGTTTACCCCTGATGAACGAGAAAGCCGTTGCCCGATCGACTTTGGCCAACATGAGGATTCCCTTGCTTTAAGCACCAAGTTCTCGTGTTGCGGGCCCGCTAGACATATGCACACGGGCCCGTTGACGAGTTCTGTCATGTAAATCGCAAATCAGACTGCATTCTGCCACAATCCCTTGTTCCAGATAGCATCGATTGAATTCAAGCCTAATGACGCGAGAGCAAGTAAATATTGATCCCGATACATGTGCTATTACTGCAATTATATGTCTGAGGCTAGCCGATGAAGCCCAATATATTGACTAGTCAAAAGCCGATCATAGATGTCGGGGTATAATCTCGGAATGCTCAGACGCATTGACGAGACATACATGACGAGGGCGGCTGGTATCACCCGATATAACTCGGTTCCCTATCAATCGTCGCTTATGGGCCCAGCACTCTACATGATCGCTTGGTTCGTATCAGAAGTTCCCGAAGTAAACTATTGGAAAGAACGCGATCCTTATGTAAAACCAAACAACGGCGCTTTTTGGCGAATAATTTGTAAATACCAACAACTAAGTGGTGGATCGGTGGCTATGGGCGTTCCAATACCGTATAAACTTGGATAAATCGGTAATACCCTTACAGTGTCCTAATAACGTGATCACCGCAGGAACCATAAATCTTGTACTCTGGTTACTATCTTGTGTGCTTCTGGGAAGCGCGGTTATTATGGGTTATGGCACTTGAGTGTGTCGGCAGAGACGATCGCCTTATTTCAAAATAGTATTTTGACAACATAATTCTTTTTTATGCATGTGTGGTTTCTTTTTTATGTGGGGTTGCGCAACTTTCTAACTGTCGGATTAATTTATAGCATAAGGTACGCAAATACTGTGGGCTGAGGCACATGTGTGATAATTTTGAATACTCTCATTGGTATCGAAGTTCCGCGCCACACAACAGTGAGTATGGTGACATTTTTTCGTTCTTAAAATGTCGATTTTTCTAAGAGAGAGCAAGGGTATGATGGTGTTGGACTTTTATCTGCTGTCACTCTGGCGACCGATAATTGCTTCTTCCAGCCCGTCGCAAGCGACCGAAATAGCTAGCGACCGGACAGCGACCTCTTTCGCCAGTGTAACATAGGAAAGATGCTGGGTTCCTAGGCAGCACTAACTAATAGGGCACATTCGTGAATCGCTTGATACCAACTTGACGAATGACAACCATGATGCGCCGCCACTGAACCAACAATGGCTTTAGCTGAACACTAGATCCAACAACCCCGCCTTCTGATAATTCGCGTCCATTTCAGCATTCATAAACTTGAGCACGACGTAGTATTCCCATGCCAGCTTCCAGTTCTACCGTTCATAATGAAAGGTCTTTTTACATTCTATAACCCAATGTTGAAATCGCAGGCCGAAGCAACGACATCACCGGCTGCGCCGAAGTCAATCAAATGGCCCAAAGCAATCTGGATACTACTGGGCGCACAACTGGTATTATCTATAGCATTATTGGTTTGCCTGGGATGGTACGCGTTTGAGAACGCAAAGAGCTTTGAAAAACAGAACATGTTCTGGATAGCCGTGGCAGCCGTAAGCTCCATTAATTCTTCTTGTCAACCCTTTTAGCGATAATGAGATGTCCTTCAATCTGTATTTCATTTGCTGACTGCTCATTGTAATAATCTAGGCTTTCTTCTCCTTAACATCAGCCATCTTCAGTCTCTCAGCATCAAATTTGTCAATGCTAGAGGTCGTAATACCGGACTCGATATCTTTCGTTTTCTGGATAATCACTACTGCAGCTATGATGTGTTTGCATTTTAAGTACCTTCAAAGTTCGACGCCTACCCATGATATGTATATCACCTTTTTTAAAAGGCCGTACATCTTATTTGCGGTTGCTTCGGCTATACTTAGGTCAGTTCCAAAG